TTTTACATGTTATAACAAAAATTATGCAGCTACAAGTTCCATTTGAGCGGGATTATAAAAGTTTTTTTGTTTTTAACGTGTAAAAACTTCGTGACTGATATTGTCGATTTTTTTCAAATCCAGAACATTCAGTCATTTGCGTTGTCAATTTTTTACTGTCAGTTTCAAACGAAAGCGATTCGGGAAAAAAATGTCAATGTCGATGCCAGTGAAACGTAAAACATATATCGTGTCGTAAAAAATTTAACTCTTAGCTGCTCACGCCTACGGTTACCATAGCTGAATCACAAGAAAAGAGTACCTATATACATATATATATATATACATTTTTTAAAAAAAGATGATCTGGGACGGAAAGAGGAAATATAATTTTTTATACATTAAATATAAGTATATTTATAAAAAGAAATTTCTAAATTTCTAGAATTTTTATTAACAATTCTTATTAATAAAATTTTATAAATATAAAATATTAATTAATGACAAGAAGTTTTACGACCTCAAAAAGAGTACAGAAAAATATCATTTTATTACTAAGAAAAAATTGATTACTAAAGAATTTATTTTTTTATCTATTAAGTAACAGTTATTTTTTTAACAAAGAATATTTTCTTGATGATAATTTTCAAATAGACTTATTACAAATTTTACAAAAACTCATTATTATAAACTCAAAATAAGAATTAATTTTCTTTTAAATAATATTATAAAATTGATTGAAGAAGCGACTTTATATATAATAAGCAAATTGAATTTGTTTTTATTTATTAATATTGATTGAAATATTACGCTTAGGATTCAGAATATATTTTGAATAAATTTAATACTTGTGATGAGCTTATGATAGATTGGTGGATATACAAACATCAGAAATATTTGAAACATGTAATTATCATTTGCGTACAGTATGTACAATTTTTCTGTGTGTACATATACTCTCAAAAAAATACAGCTGGTAATCCTACGCGGCACATGACAAGGAAAGGAGAGATCTCATCTCATGATATTTATTTTATTGCCTTGCGAAAGGTTCCTTATTTCAATACTCTATTTTTTCTCGCCTCAATCCACCTTTCGAATTCGTCATAAACTTTCCAAAATATATCGTCGTCTAAGCGCACCGTGAACCACCGCGAGCTCTCCGGCCAGTTTTTAGACCAATCGCGCCCGTTCAAACTATTTCTACCTCCCGCGACGAATTATTGATATCCTTCCTCGCGCATCGACGCGATCCGTTTCGCGGTTTCCCCAGAATAAACGTACTTTCGTCGTGTTCCACGTGAGCCTCCACGTCCCCGAACCCGGGCCATGCTCGTGCTTCTGTTTACTCGAGAATCGTGCATGAGAGAAAAAGCGCGGGGAAAAAGCCACGCGACAAAAAAAAAGAATGAGTGACGATAACAATGACAAGACGGAAGGGTAAGACAAGGGTGGGAGAGAAAAAGCGAGTCGACACGATACGACGATAATTCGCGTTGACGAAAATCGACGACGACGGTGAACTGCGATGCGTTGAGTGCGTTAAGGAGCGATGTGTCTCGTGGATGTATGCGTGTTTGGCAGACGGATCGTCCGTCCGTTCGTTCGTCTGCCTGTAGGTAGTTTCGCAGCGATCACGCGTGCCGATGTACCGATAACGTGGATTTGCGCACAAAATGTGTATATACATATAATTGAGACCGCGCGGATTCGAGCGCGGAGAATCGGCGGGTTTTCTTCCCGTCTCCGGCGTTTCTCTGTTTTTTTCCTTCCTCTCCTTTTTTGTTACACTAATTTAATTTGTACATAATTTACTCCTTTTTTTTTCTGTAACGAATTTAAACCTTCGTTGTTAATCTTCCAGTTGCGTTGAATTTCGCGATTGGGTGTCGCGCGAGTGAGAGGAACAAAGCGAGCGGCTTTCTATTCGTTATTGTTGTGTGCGTGTGTGCGTCGCCTTTTGTTATCCGCGCGGGGAACTTCGTTTGTAACGTTGATCAAAGGGCAGGTCTGTTATAAAATGATTCGCGAGGAGATTCGCCACGGCTGTGCCGGGTTCGAGGGCTCGAGAGAGCCGAAACGAACGCGTACCTGCCTCGCCGAATTTATTTGATTTTGTATTATTAGCGAGTTGTATTAATTGATTCTAATCGAGTTCCCGCTAAGTACACTGAGAAAAATTTCTGGTTGAAAATGAACGAACCAATAAATTCTAATCACATCAAGTAGAATTCCCATCATGATTGGACGTCTAGTAGTTACCTTGACTAGAATTATAATAGATTTAATTATACATAAAATTCTCATTTGTACATTTTTTTTTTCCTAGAATTCCAATTAATGCAATCAGACTTTTTCCAGTGTAACGACACGCGGAATTATTAGGCAGCGAGCTCTCCCACGAACGAGTCGAGGATGCTAAGGCTGCATCTGGTGATTTCCGTCCCGCGTACGCGCGACACAAGTCCGCGGTGAGACTCTTGTTTCCTCGCGAGGAAGCGAGAACCTCGCCGTCCGTGTCTTCCGCGAGTGTCCCAACAACAATCTCTGTCCATTTCTCGCGAGAATCGCATCTCGGCGAAGTACGCGATATACAGGGTGTCCGAGATGACCATCGAAAGAGAATATAATTGGAAAATAATCGAGTCGTTCGAGAGAAACGAATTTTTCATCTTTACCTCTCGACTGCAGCAATGAAAACAGAATAGAACGCAAGTAAATCTTCGCCTTGTATTGATAGAGGAAGATTCAAAGTTTTTTTTATCTACAATCTTTAGAACCTCACAAGTACCAATCCTAGACGACATGAAACATGAAGATGTCTTTATGATGTCTTTTAAATTATCCTTTACATGCACATTCTACAATAAGCCGTTACTTAAGCTTTAAATCTTAAGCCGCAAGAAATTGACTAGTCACAGTCAAATGTGAGAAGAATAATCGATTATGATTGGTCAACTTCTTACGGCTTGAGACTTAAAATATAGGTAATGGCTTATCGTAGAAAAGTTATTATTTATTATATGTTCCAAAATACGTCTATGACATTTTTTAGACATATATGTTGTCTAGGAAAAGATTGTACAACGGTGTAAAAAATTTTCACTTCGGGTTCAAATGATGCTGTGGTCGAGGGTTAATATTAATATCGTCACTCGCGGAAATAACACGTTGAGATTCCGTCAAGGAGATATTTAGAAATTTCCCTATTATTTGTCGTGTAAAATCCGAAGGATTGACGATTTCTGGGACACCCTGTAATAAGTGAATGATTTAGGCATCGAAGGAATACCCCTCGCATGTCGACTCGTTCGTGGTGGAGCCTCGTCCGCAGTGCGAACGTGGCGTATCTCGTCAAACGTCCAAGAGATATTCCTCTCTCTGAATTTGTGACTTTCGAAAAAGGCAAGATCGCGAGAAACGCGAAAGGCGGGCTCAAAATGCCGATTCTCCGATTCCGAGGGAGCACTCCGAAACGCAAAGATCGGCGCCGCGGCGCCGGGTAATCGCGGGAAATTAATTAAAAGAAATAATTATTATATTTATTCGAATGACTTGCCAAGTTTTGTTGCATAGTGTACGCGAGATAAATTTTAGACGGCAGTAAAAAAATCATACAAAAAAAAAAGAAGGTAATAAGTCGGTTAACGATGTGAATGATCTGGCGGGATTTAACGGACATAAGTTGCATAGCTATTGTGAGCAGTTTTCACGAAATATTGATGTATATATCTTAAGTTTGTATTATAACTCTCCCCACACTTAATTTGTATGAAATGAAGAATTTCGAACATTAAAATCATGAACGAAAAAATCGTCTTTACTTTCTCCGCCTCCGGCTTGGATTTTCTCCTCTTTCCATTATATACATTAAGAAAAATATTACTTCGACCAAACTTTGATTAACATAATCGACGATTAACATAATTCAATCGACAGAATTACTCACAGCAAGATGTCAAGTTTTATTTATCGTCCTTAATCTAATCTTTCCATGCGTGTTAAACAATAAAATAAAATAATTCTATCCATATTGACAAAACAGATATTGTGCTCGACAAGTTTATCGCAGATTACCTCATCCATAGCCGTGGAATCTGGAATGTTTGCGTTTAATATTAAAAAAGGAAAAAGATAAGCGCAATCAGAAAAACAACTTATACGCAAAAGGCAAGATCGCGAGATGAGTAATACGGATGTATTATAGATTAAGGATAAAACATAAGGATAACTCAGATTTCACAATTAGCTTCATTATTAACTCATTAAGTAGTACCTACTCTATTTCTTAATATAAATAGAAGTATTAATTTTCTGCTGTTTAATAATGCATGGAAAGGAGCAATAAATTATATAATATAATTTTTTTTTTTTTTTGCTTTAAACAATTCTCTTAGTTCTCTTGAGTTAAGCTGCTTTTCTTTTAAAAAGATACATGTCCATTTCCATTAATGTATGTAGATTAATTAATTTAATCTCAGTTCAATTTGCTCTCCATCTTTTTCTAGTTCCAAGAATTGAAGAAAGATGAAGAGTAATTTAAATCAAGGTTGAAGTTATTTTACACTGAAAAAATCGGTCGATTGTCGTTCTCTCTTTGTTATTCATTGAACGCCAAGAAGGATAGAACAACACTTGTGCTGACAGTGTCTCCTAAAAGGAGAGCAGCCTTAGGCCCAGTTTCACAACTCACGGTTAACTCTTAATCAAGGTTCAACTTGTTTCTCATCTCTTTCCAATTCTAGAATTGGAAAGAGACAATGAATAAGTTGAATCTCGGTTAAGAATTAACCGTGAGTTGTGGAATTGGGCCTTAATCGCCGATTAAGCTAATCGAAGTTTGGCCGTAGTCGTTGGAAAAACATCGCTTGTTTTTGATGGCGTTGATACATCAATCGATATTGCCAAATATAATCGGATCTGCTTCGTTAAGTGAGAGCTTTCGTTATGACGTAGAATGCGTGCGCAATTCACGTAAGATTCACGCACACACATTTATTTTTACGTCGGTGCGCATGCACCCACCACCGGGTCGGTGAACATGGCAGGTGCTCATCTGCTCCACGACGATTACGTTCATTCGAGAAAAGACTCCGACGACGAAGCCTTTAATTTGAAAATAATTAATCAACTCGTCAATACTTTGTCACGAGAATTGTCTCTTGAGTCTTACTGGAAAATCAGGAATACTGTGAATGCAACCATGAGTGCGCAAGAGACAGAGGTGAGCCTTATCAAAGCTTTTTCAATCACGTTTATCAATATTGTATATAAACCAGATAATAATTCCGAGAAAAATCGTACGCCTCTACGATGCCTTTCAATTATACGACAAGAGATGCAAGTCTTCTCTCATTAACCTCCAAACGTAAATATCGCGTCATACATATATATATGCATACACTGTGTATGTATACAATACACACACATCATGCGCGCATATATATATATATATGTATATATGGCTTAGTCAAACATATTAGGCATCTTATTAACCATTATTTAAAGTTTTAGTTTAAAAATTTATTTATAGCATTTGTTATATATTATCCTTTGTTTCAAAAATCCTTTAAATTTATGTATATAATGTACTGATAACTAGTAGGTAACAATGCAGGTAAAAGAATTCCAGATAAATGAAAAAGAATATAGGTACCTAATATTACAATATTTTTTTGGCTTAGCCTTTATGTATATTTTTTGTATACAAATATATGTAATTATATTATTACATAATATTATGATTATATGTATAATATATATAATACATTGTATATAAATATATATAAATTAATAATGTATTTTTCTCTTTATTTAGGTGGAGAACCTTAAACAGCAAGGAAATGCATGTGTTAGGGAGAAAAAATATCAGAAGGCAATGCTTCATTACTCACAAGCAATTAAGCTGGATCCAAAAAATTATTCTCTCTACAGCAACAGATCCTTCACTTTCCTAATGTTGGAACGATATCGTGACGCCTTGAACGATGCTCTGATGACCATTCGACTAAAGCCTGACTGGTCAAAAGTATGTAAAAGAATATATACTTCCTGCAGATCTGGATTTTAAAAAAGGAATAAATTTCTCAATATGATTATCTGTTTCAGGGTTACTTTAGGAAGGGCGAGGTTGAACTGAAACTATGCTCTTACAATGAAGCACTTGAGTCTTATAACAAAGCTTTATCCTTGCAACCAAACGAGCCTAAGATTTTGGAAGCGATGAACAAAGCGTCAAAATCATTGATTAAAGACAGAAGAGGTACTTGATGCACAGAGTTATCTTGGAACTATGAAAATTGGAACATAATAAAATAATGTTTCACAGCTGATCAACAGATCCCGTGGCTTGGAGCTGGCGTTGGTATTATACTAGGAGTCACAGTTGTGATTGCCGATTATGTTTTTACAAACAAGCCCACTTTAACGGTATTGATTCGTACTTTATACTTTTAAATTATTATTAAAATGGTAATCGTGTAATTATATTATTTTTGTCATTGCTGTAATGTGCACGGTATAATTCTTTCATATTCTGCTGCAGCATCCTCTACTGATGGCTTTATTAACGATGACTATAGCTATGATTGGCTTTGCCATCGCAAAAGGACTTCGTTATTTTTTAAAACACCAAAGAAAGTCAGTCCTAATAGGAGACTTTCCCCACTGCTTGGTAGAAGCCAATGAATTGGATGATATCTATGTAAAAGAAAGTACTGATACAAAGAAAAAAGAACGGTAAAGTACAAATGAGGCAATAATTTTGCAAAAAGAAAAATGATAGTTCTTTTTATTGATAAATATTTCAATGTACTTTCAATAATTTTAATTAAAAAATGCAGTAACATTTTTACTATTAATATATAAAAATAATGCTACGGACGGATAAAACTAATGTTTGACTATGACTAGATGTCTATCATTGCATTCTGTGTTGTTTTTTATTGAAAAAATTGAAATATATTTTATATACTATTGTTTTATATTATTTTTAGTTTTATAAAAGCACATAAAGCGAATATTTATATAAAAAATACATTAATGATTCGTTAATGAATTTACTAGTCATTTCTTCACACAGTATATGACGAATAATTTATGCGGTTCGCAAAAAAGATAACTGCGATAAAAAATAAATAATTAATTATATACGCACTATCAGTACATCTAATTATCATATGACTCGTAATGAAGTATGAATGTATTCTCTTAAAAATAGTATTTATTCGAAACACTAAAGAATATTATATTTGCATTCCTTACAATTTAGAAACTTGGTAAGAAATATTGTCTCTTGCTATTGATTCTTACAATGAACAACGAAGTATATAAGTGTATTAAAATAATATACGTGTGTGTGTGTGTGTGTGTGTGTGTGTGTGTGTGTGTGTGTGTGTGTGTGTGTGTGTGTGTGTGTGCGCGCGCGCGATATGTACGTCGCATGTCTTCTTTTACTCTTTCTGCACTTTACAGTACCTATAATATCAAGAATAAATGCATATGTATATCTCTTGAAACTAAAGATCTCAATTAAAATTATTTAAATAATATATTTAAATATATGTATGTTTTTAGCTGGAAACATCATCCAGTTGAGCTCGAAAAGACTAAAGATTTCTAACTTTATATATACAGGGTGTTTATAAATAAGTGTAAAAACTTTCCGAAAATAATTCCTTGTCGAAAATTAAGAGTTTTTCATATAAACACTCTTATATCCCTCCCGGATGAGTAACTCCTTCAAAAGGAGAAGTAAAAATTAAGTTTTTTTTTTTCAAATTTTAGACATATTAGAAAAATGGAATTTAACGGACATTTTCCACTGTAAAAAGAACATTTATTAACATTTTCAAAAAATAAGAACTTAATGTTTACCTCTCCCCATTGAAGGAATGTAATTCCTCAGGGAGGGATATAGAAATATATGTTTGTATGAAAAACTCCCCTTAATTTTTAGCAAAGAATCAACTCCTATTCACACTTATTTAGAAACACTCTGTATACTTACTAATTTGTAAGTATGTCTATAAGCATATACACTTAAGTATTTCAACCGTAGGTATACTTATAGTATATCTGCTTGTAGTTCATAAGTCATCAACGATTGTCCACGATTCAAGTGTATTGATGTCACACACATGCAACTTGTGAACTATGAACCGTATTATGCATCCGTTTACGATATCGTGTGGTCATTCAATAAAGATGAAATTAAAAGCACTACCGATGGATATCTCGATCTTTTGATTCCTGAACCGTCCTTCAAAACTTGTCGTTTCATGTTCCACTCGCATGCAACCGAATTACGCAATGCGGGAAAGTAACAAACGGCAAAAATATGCGCGATGCGCCGGGGCGAGAAGTAAAAGGAGATTCACCAAGCGGTTTTAGGTCGGACGTTCGGTTCATTTGCGAAGTACATCTTAAAGTAGCAGCAGGGAAGGGACGCAAAGATAAAATGGGAACAAGCTGTTGGAGCTAATCAAGTAAATACTGACACCTAAAGAAATTCATAAAAAATATATTATTAAATAATATAAAAAGAAAAATAATTTCAAGAAAAATCTGTGGAGCATTAACAAGCTAAAAATCAATAACATCCTCCTATAGTTACTATAGTAGAATATGTGTAAACAGTTTAGAATAATCGATATCGGTTAGGGAAGTCAAAACAAACAGGGGGAATTGGCAAAAACAAGGAAATGTCGAAGAACAATAAAAAACTATTTTTATTCGATTTATAAAATTATGCTGAAATAATCCAGCCTTCTATATGTCCGAGAAATTATATAAGTTTTATGTTTCTGAACAAGTTTGTTACTTCGCAGGATTTGTGCTTTCATTTTTAAGTTTAGTGCTGTCCTTTTTCTCCCCTTTCTCTCTCTATTTATCTATCTCATTTGCTATACTGGCATGCGATTATTCTCTCACGCGTGCATATTATTGCGGTTCGCAGCACAGATAGAAGAAATAATTGGACCGCAACTCGAGAGCTGGGAATAATGTCGTTAACAAACAACGCGCACGATTTAACATTGAATATAAACGCCAAGTATTTATAAAATTGTAGAATCATTGGGATCACATTGATTGTATTTTCACATTCAATGGGAATATTTTTCAGCGTTTTGCTATAAAAAACCGTTTTCAACTTGTATTTAGCTTCCATGAATCCAAGCTGATCGAAAACGTGCAGCGCTTCGTTTCAGAAATCACACCACGTGGCGTAGATAATCGGGTACCATCTGATTATATCTTTCCCACTTTGCCTGAATAGACACAGCCTTCTTCTTCCATATCAAGTTCCCCTGATGTTGGCTATCGCATTCTAGAAAGAGTTGTCCGACTATGTAACTTACCAAAAGGCTAGGTAGATCTAGTCATTTTTTTTTTACGTTCATACTCGATCGAGTCTACTCAAGTAACGGTTAAAAGAGAATGTCTGTTAAAAGAACGTGGTCATTAAATCGTGATGATATAATAATACGATATGATAAGCGACTGATAAATCCAATCAGCTGTATCAACGATAAAATTACACAAGTCCTAAAATTCTAATGTCCTTGACCTCAGAAATCCCTACTTCGACAAAACTTTGATCACAAAAGCTTGTACTTCAGAAAATCGGTGGAACACAAATCGACGCTCCGAGCATTCTCTAGGATTTATTATTACAATAAATGTTGTTGCAATAAACTTATTATCATAAATGTCTTTTGAGACCTGTAAGGGATCGAGAAAGAGATATTTATTATAGCTGCCGCTTCGCAGACTTTTACAAACAATCGCCGTGCAACTTGCTCGAGGCGCAACAACAATGCGCGATCGAGTTACATTTACGAAAAAGAATATACGATCGAATTATACTCATAAAGGCAAAGATAAATCGGCGATCAGCTGCGAAGTCCGTTTTTCACGGGAGAGATAAGGCGCGCGCTCCCTCCGAACGTTTCTCCCTCACGAGCGATTTCGCAAAGCAACAAAGAGCTCCCCCACCGTTTTAGGATCCGCTTTCCTCGATAGTTTCACGTACTCGGTGCGTTCACCGCGATTATTAAAATCTTACGTGTTTCCCGTACGAACAAAATGGCAAAATGGCGTGTCCCAGTGATCCCTCCCTATTTTTCTCTACGCAGCGCATATACGACTCGCAGGCCCGGTCCAGTACTCCAGTTATATATCTCACGTTCGTGGTTCGTCACGAACGTGACTACGGATTGAAGTTGGCATGGCCAACTTCTCTCCGAACTACGCGCGCGCGCGCGCGCGCGGGCGCGTCACTCATCGCGCGCCTGAAGATCCTTTATTGCGAGCGATGATGCGAGAATCGCCAATGATAATGCAATCCACAGAAATAGACGCGCAAATATTTCGCGGCGATACAATATACAACTCGGAGAACGCGAAGTTATCGATGCGACGAACGGCACCGACGATCGCAGGTGTCGAACCTCGTGCGAATTCACGAGTTCCATTTTTTATTTTTCGACGCATCATTATTGGAGGTCTGTTCGAGCTGCTTGCACTTTTTGCACTCACAATCAGTTTCTCTCTTTTCAACGTCCGAAATGTATATTTATTTTTGGAGATTTCAAGCAACGCGAACGAACCTCGAGTCTTCAGATCGGTTCTTTCCAGCTGAACTTTTTGCACGGTTCATCTTTTCTCTTTTTTTTTTTCCTCCAATTTGAAAGTAAAAGAGGAAAAATGACCCGTGCGAGAAGTTCAGCTAAAAAGAATAAGCTTTTCGCGAAGTAGGACGAATTAGAAAACATTTTCGTTCGTCGCGCGAAGCTCGTGTTTTTCTCGACTCGCAACGTAAATCCTGCGAACCCGGATCTCATTTCCGAGAGGAGGCGACGAGCGCGGAAAAACGGAGTCACGTTTTTCACGCTCGCCGTCCCGAAACCGTTGACGTCACTGCACGAAGTATTCGATCTCTCACGCTCGTATTTCGCGCACGCGATACGGCGTACGTCGACGATTCCATCGGAAGCGAGTTGCAGCGTAGAAAGATGAACGCCAACGACGACCGACCAACGTGGCCGTTGGACGGAAAACAGAAGGCACGGTGAACCGCCGCGTCCCGTGACACTCGCTTCGCGTGAAAAATGGCGACGAAATCTCGAGGCGTCGCGCGGACGAGCGTCGAGGACACCTCGGGACGAGAAAAGAAGTCCCTCGTGGAAGGCTCCAAGGGGTTAGGGTGTCGGCGGATGCGAAGGCGTGTCGCGCGGCACACACGACGTCGTCGTCGTCGTCGCGAACCGTCCCGGAGTGCCGCTTCCGCGCCGGAAATGGAACCTCGAGACGGGATGGCGGACCCGAGGAAACCGAAGAATCCCTCACCGGAAAGCAGCAGCGACGAAGGGCGTTCCGCGAGGATGCTCGGAACGAGAGAAGCGTAGCCGGGACGCTCAGCACGATTAGCGGCTGCCTGGTGCTCCGCAGGTCACTTGTCGAGAACACGCATGCGCAAACGCATGCGCGATACCTCCTCGCGGCACACACGGCTCTACAGCCGACAAAACGGGATGTTTTGTCACCTCCGAATCTAGCAATTTTCTCAACATTCCTGTTTTTTTGATTTTTTTATTTTCAGTCGGATAAAATATATGATAATGAAAAAAATGTAACGTGCATTTTTAATAATGGATATATTATTGACTTTCAATAAAGTTATTATTGATATAATAACTTCCAATAAAGTTATTATTTGCAGATATTAATATAATTGATATATTATTGATTTTTAATATTATTGTTATTATTATTATTTTATTTTAAGTAAGCGACTTCTGGGAATCGAGGTGAAAATTACAAAGCGAATTAGCGAATTCATTAAAATATTATAATTTCATTTGTCAACTTATGTAGTAAATTTGTTCGTTTTTGTAATTTTCATCTCGTTTCGAGATACACAATCGACCTATACAAAACGGTGCTTTAAAATATCTGAATATTCTCACAGTTGCAAACTTCAAGGGATTAAAAAGTTATGGAAACGAAGGAGCTTCGTTACAACGCGATTTTTTAAATTTTTTCAAGTTATAACAAGAATCACTCCGCTATAGGAAAAAGTTATATTCTATGAACGCGATCAGCCTCGTGAATCCCACGTCTTTCATCGCAGTTTCCCGAACAGAGAAGTCTCTGAAAAAGCTAACTCGACGCGCTAGCGCGCGCATCTCCTTCGCGCGGCTTTCCGAACTTCTCGCGACGATGATCCGCGAGTTTCGGTATCGTAACAACTTGCCGCCTCCTCGTTGATTGTCGGAACCGCGAAAGTTTCCGTTCGCGCCTCATTACAACGTACTATCTGACGTACTTATTAATAACGCGTGACGAACGAAGGACGAAGTTCACGACTCGCCCAGCAGTAATTGCACAAAGCCCTCGCGCCACGAGGCGCAAAAAGGCAAAACGTAATCCACCATGAAGACGTCTTCCGTTACTCGCTCCGCTGTCCGTCGGGTGATTAACCGATAAAAAATATTCCTAGGGCGAAAAAGTCGCACGGAGCGATCGAGGACCTCTCGCAAGTTCAAACGTTAGGACAGAAGCACAGATTTTTGTATAAATTCCGAAATACAATAACTGTAATATGCTTTACCCCACAAACACAATAGATGTGTAGTAGGAAGTCTTAAGCCTTGAGAAATTGATCGATCACAGTCGAATGTGAGAAGAATAATCGACTATGATTGGTCAATTCCTCAAGATTTAAGGCTTACCGCACCTATTGTGTTTGCGGAGTTAAGCAGTAAGATATTGACTGATTACGGTCGAATGTGAGAAGAATAATCGACTATAAATAATCAATTTCTTACGGCTTAAGATCTTAAGCTTAGGTAATAGCTTGTAGAAAGCCCATTACTGCACCTATTGTGTTTTGGGATGCATAACGCACAAAAAAAATCCATCCTGAATCTTTTATTTCATGGAAAGGAAAGAAATGAAGGACTTTAATTAATTCATTTTTTTATGCATTATGCAAGACTCTGTGCTCTCATCCTAAGTCACTGCCTGAGCTTTAAGCTTTAAGCTTCCAAACAATTGATTAATCATAATTGATCGTTCTTCTCACATTCGACTGTGACTGGTCAATTCCTTAAGGCTCAAGGCTTACTACACCTATAGTGTCTCAGGACTTAAGAGAAATATCAATCCCTCGACAATTCCGCGAGTCTCTGTTCCTGCAGCTCGTCCGTTTTGTCGTCGCGTCGATACGCATCAACTGCGTAACGAGTTCGACTTATTTTAAATTGCAAAACAGCTTCCAATGCAGCGAAACGACGTGTCGATGAATAACTTATGATGAAATGCAGTTTAAATAAGAAAAATATTAATGAAAGGGCCGAGAAGTTTCTTTTCATTTACCCGTACGGTATAGATCGTTCCAACAATATTACAGCAACATTCGCAATATTCCAGCAATATTGTGGTAACATCGCAAAGTTATTGCAACGTTACTGGAATGATCTACTCTGCATAGCTACTGAATGTCGCTGATTTGAGCGGTCAGAGCTGATCGCGCGGAGCTCGTGAAATCAGCGAGGCTTTCCGTGAATTCTTAATATTTATCCGAGTGTCACCCCAAGTGCGCCCTGCGTGCAGCCGCCTCTGTTACGGATCGCACTACTTTTCCATCGCATCCCACCCGGGCGCGCCGTGTGTACGGGCTGGTGGTCGCTGATTGGCGAACGACGATCGCCGGGTGCGCGACGGGGGCATCGCAACACGAAGCGGGGCCCTCTCGACGACTGGGCGCATCTATCAATGCGCAATCGCATCGGAGCTGTAGACGAAGTCGGGGAGGTTTGCCGAGACGAGGAATAAACACGGTGGCTGCTCCGCGCACAGGCACACCGCACAAGCATCGGGCGAGAAGTGGGCGGCGGAGGGATCGAACGAGAAAGAGAGAGAGAGAGAGAGAGAGAAAGAGCGAGAGAGAGAGAGGGGAGACATAGTGGGAGAAAGCGAGAAAGTGGGAGAGCGAGAGAGAGCGGGTGATACGGTCCGTGCGTGCGAGTGAACGAGAGAGGGAGTGAGAAAGACGTGAGCGAGATAGAGCGAACGAGTAGGCCAGCGAGACGATCACGATGCACGGAGGCGAGCACAAGCGGCCAGGGGCACAGGGCTGAGGGCTGAGGGCTCGACGGGGCCTCGAGTAACGTTCACGGGCCGGCCGAGGCGCAGCCAGCGAGCGATGGAGCAGCCCAAGACTCCGGCGTCCCGGCTGTTCAACACGACCTGCATCGAGAACAAGGACGACCTGGAAGAGGTAACATAAATATTTGAAATAGTCACTGGGTACGTATCGGGTGCGAGGGCCTCCGCCATTGTTGCGACGGTCGCGCACGTTGGCGAACGCGCGGCGCCACTTGCGAAAATCCACCTTTTCGCGCGACATTCGAACCTGCCAAAGGCGAAATCGTCCCGAGGGACGAGGATATTCCCGTTCCTACCCTTCTCTCTTTCTTTCGCTCTCTCGCGTCCTTTGCTTCCCTTCCTCCGTGTTCCATCGAGCAACTCCATCGTGACACGTGATTTTTCTGAATTTTTCTGAATTTTTCTGAATACTCCGGAAGCTTTTCAGTGCTTTCCGACAAAAAACACATGACAGTGGATGCTTTTTCCAGCCAGAAACAGCGAGTGCTTTCCATTTGGTGACACAAATCGTCACAAGTATCATTCTGTCTTTGTTACATATGGAATGTAAAGAAAGATAGAACAACACTTGTGTCGATTTGGGTCACTAAATGGAAAGCACCTACAGTGAATTTCATTATATCTTTGTTATTTGTGCCAATGTTAAACAAAGATGATATAATCGCTGTGTCATATCGTTGGTGTTTTCTCGCAGGAGACACAGTGTAATTCCATTTTTGCTTAACATAGGAGGATGCTTTTCCAGCAAGAGACACAGATAACATGGTATAACGCAATGAATCATATATCCTTATTGTTCGCCAATGTTAAATAAAGATGAAATAATCACTGTATTACATTGTGTCTCTTGGCAAATAACAAGATTGTAGTAATTCATTGTATTATATTGAATCATCTGTTTCTTGCTGGAAAGCACCAAGTGTAACACAGTGAATCGTTTCATCTTTATGTAACATTGGCAAACAGCAAGGGGTGCTTTCCATTTGGTATCCAATTGACACAATTGTCTAAATCGCTAGAATGTCAAGTAAGATAGAATGATGTTTATGTCGACTTGTGCTAATAAATGGAAGGCTTGTGTTACTAATTGGAAGGATCCAAGGATATAATAATTTACTGTGTCACATTGTGTCATTTGTGTTTCTTGTTAGAAAGCATCTGGAGTGTCTCTTTTTGTATGCGTACAGTCAAAGATATTTACCTCAAAATACTAAATAAAAATTTACTCAAACTTCTTGGGTATTTTTTTTTTTCATTTAGAATCAGCGAAATTGAGTGATACAATATCTTTTCAGAAATTGGAGAGATGCCATTCGACGTTGCAAAATTTGATCACGGGACTCTCGGAGAAAGAAGCCCACGACACGCTGAACAATGCAGTGTGCAAGGACAAGGCGTACGAGGAAGTTTCCCTGGGTTTATTAGTGATCATCTTGACGGAACCGCAGAATGCTGCAAAGAGTTACAGAGACTTAACATTGATCACACGAGATGGCCTAGGCATTGTGTTGCTTCATCTGAATCAATTAGTATTGGATAAATATTTGAGATTAAATGACGTTACCAGAAGTCAGTTACTGTGGTTGCTAAGGGAAATGATAAGGACTAGTGTAACTAATGTGGATAATCTTTGTTTGACTTTGTTGAGGCATGCGGCAGGCGGGGATATTTCCCCAAAGAACTTATTCCTAGTTGACGCCCTCTTAGATATTTTTCAAGAAAATCGACCGTGGTTGGATAAATTTTCTTTTTTAGTAGCATCAATTGTGTACACGTATTTACGGTTAATAGAAGACCACAATGCACCTCATTTGGCTGGTTTAAGGCAAAAGGAAGTGACCTTCACAACATCTCTGATAAGGGAACGAATGGCAGACTGCCTAGCTATTGGAAGGTATACATGCTGGGGCGATTAGAAAACTCCAAACAATGAACAACATTGACATAAATTAATGCAATTATATTTTTCAGAGATTTGGTTCGTTTACTACAGAACGTCGCGAGAATACCGGAGTTTGAAGCACTCTGGAAGGATATATTACTCAATCCAAAATCTCTCTGTCCAAATTTTAACGGTGTTCTTCAATTATTACAAACTAGAACCTCCAGAAGATTTCTACAATCTCGTTTGACGCCGGAAATGGAGAGGAAACTTGTGTTTCTGACGAGTAACGTCCGTTTCGGCAATCATAAGCGTTATCAGGATTGGTTTCAGAGGCAATACTTAGCAACTCCTGAATCTCAATCGTTAAGATGTGATCTAATTCGCTTTATCGTTGGAGTCATACATCCCACGAACGAACTGCTGTGCTCTGACATTATTCCACGATGGGCAGTAATAGGCTGGTTATTCACAACGTGCACTTCCACCGTGGCTGCCAGTAACGCAAAGCTGGCTCTGTTCTATGATTGGCTGTTTTTCGATCCTGACAAAGACAATATCATGAATATTGAACCTGCAATTCTTGTTATGCACAATTCAATGAGGTCTCATCCACCTGTCACTGCCACACTTCTAGATTTTTTATGCAGGGTGAGTTATACTCGTTCATTTTATTGAGAAATTCCAAATGTTAAAATAAAATATGATTTACAGATATTTTAAATTCTAAATAATAAATAAAATATTTGTTTATACATTTATTTAAAGATATTTGATTCGAAATTCTGGATAATAAAATAAAATATGATTTACAGATAATACCAAACTTCTATCCTGCGCTAACGGAGAAAGTCAGAAACGGCATATTTTCGTCATTGCGACAAATTTTAGAAAAACGCGTTTTGCCTAGCCTATACCCGTTATTTGATAGCCCGAAACTTGATCGAGAATTAAGGAGCAAAATACGGGAAACTTTTAAGGAATTTTGTCTACCACCAAATTCAGATATGCCTGGTAAAATTATTAATATATAATATATAAACGTTGTATGATCACAATTAATAATAGAAATTCAAAGGCCTATACCGGTCGAAGCTAAATCTTTAACGCTTTTAAATCAATGTGAATTATATATATACTATATATGTAAATATATAACATATTTGTAGTCCTTCAAACTGCACGCCGAATTGGTTTTCCGGAGCTAATTAAACTATTGGAATAATATTACATTGAATTTCTATTATTAATTGTGTTTCTCACATGGTACGGTCTAAAAATAAGGTTCTTATTGGTTAAATTAGTTTATTTACGTCGCCCGAAAAAGACATTTCGTACATATGCCAAATTTGCGAAAGATATTACTAAGGCCTCGGTAGTCTAACTGGTAAGGACGCTCACACGGAATTTAAGAGATCCGGGTTCGACTCCCGGCCAGGTAATATTTTTCGCAATAAAATTTATTTACAGTTTTTCAGCACATTAACATCTTGCTAATATGATGCCTGATTATGCATTAAAATTATTTAAGAATTGCTTGTTAATTTAATTTAATTCGTGATATTATTCCAGTAGTTTAATTGCGTTTATAAGTCCGGAAAACCAATTCGACGCGCAGTTTGAACGACTACAAATATGTTATATATGCAAGTACATATACATATATAGTATATATGTAATTCACATTGAATTATTTAAAAGCGTTAAAGATTTAGCTTCGACCGGTATAGGCCTTTGAATTTCTATTATTAATTGTGTTTCTCACATGGTACGGTCTAAAAATAAGATTCTTATTGTTTCAATTAGTTGTATTATCATATTAACATCTTATCACATTATATTAAAAAGTATTTCAAAATAGGAAAAAATTTCCAGTACATAATTTCTTTTTTAATTTCTTTAATTAAAAGAAATTTAAGTTTGAATTGTCATTGGTTCACAAAAAGACTTGATTCCACAATGAAAGTGACGAAATAAAGTAGAGAAGTTGTTAGAAAGTATTTGCATCATATGGACAAACAATTTGAATAAATTTTAATCTACTTGCTGATATCTACTTGCTGTATATCTACTTGCTGATTACTTAGCTAATCTTGATATTTCATAAATAATGTACTAACTTGTCAATTTGAGAAGAATATTAATTTATTAGAATTATATTCATTGTAAAGTTTGAATAGTTCTTTTTTGATAAATATTTGACAATTATTTTAGTATTTATAATCAAGAATTAATTATAAAAGATTGATAGAAAGATCTAATTCTGAAGAAAATCAGTTATAATTAAATTAAATAAATGTAGACGAAATGTTAGACTTTTATAGACGAAATTTATTATCCTAACTTGATTTTAAGCTTGATTGTCAAAAATTTATCTACTACTAAGAATACACTGCAGTGTTTTTAATACTATTTTTAATATCATATTTCCGAAATTTATGACTCAAAATATATAGCAAGAAACATGAAGTTAAAAAATTATTTTTTGAATTTTCGTTTCAAGCACTAGTTTTTGAGAGCACAAGTTTATAAAAGTTAATCATTTGCTGTTTAGATGATCACCTGTCACGTAGCCATTACTATTACCGCACGCACAGATTCATGGTCATGTGATAATTATACGCCATTTAAAGAACCTTTAAGCCTTTCTATCTCAACTGAGATTGGTCAGTTGTGATTGGCCCTTGTGTTACAAAAACTCCTGCTGGAAGTAAAAATCTGTAAATAACTTTTTTATTTAATTTTTCTTGTTATAGTAATTTTAGTCGCGAATTTCGAAACACTGATTTTGATATATCAAAATTTGATTATCAAGTTTGAAAGTTTATTGGAAACAAGTTAAGTCAGATTTTCTCCCATAGAATTTGTTTTCTCGATGTTAGAACTATATTCCCTTTGCGGCACCGCGAGCCGTGTATGCATTACTTGATCTCTTACCTTCTAGTGGCTCTTAAACACCGTTATTATTGTTTTGTGACATACATTTTGTTTTTATATGATCTTCAAACATTGATTTACCCATGAACCATTTAATCAAGTTATTATTTTAATTGATAATTTGTTACAAATAAAATAAGAGTAAAAACCCCGGTTTTTTCAATAAAAGTTCATTTCCGGAAAAAATCAATAATGAACCATGGAAAAATTTATGTTTTTTGGATCGCTGATTATAAATCTGACGTCAGATTTTCGAAATTCAAAATGGCGGATCCAAGATGGCCGATCGATTTGCAAATGGGAATCCGATTTTGTTCCATGATAAGTACCCTGATCAGGATGAAACCAGGTATTCGGAGATTTTCGAGGTCACTGATTACGAATCTGACCTCGGATTTTCGAAATTCAATATGGTGGATCCAATATGACGGACCAAGTTGCGAAAAGTGATTTGATATGGGAGTCGATCGTATATCTCGAAATGAGGTGAAAATCACAAAAGTGAGCAAATTCACTAGTTATTGACCAATTAAATTATGAATATTCTAGTGAATTTGCTCACTTTTGTAATTTTCACCTCATTTCGAGATACACAATCGATCCCCTGGATGAAAGTAGGTACTCGTCAGTTTTTTAAATCGCTTATTACAAATTTGGAGTCGGAAAAGCAAAATTGCAAACATGACCGACAAATATTTGAAGTGATTATGAATTTGAAGTCAAAATTATACAATTCAAAGCGGCCAATCCATTATGGCAATTTTTATTCTCATTTTCGGCATAATTTAACTAGCAATATGGTTGTAACGAACATAGAGTTCAATTTGTTTATAATTTTTTATTTATTTTTTCAGATTTGTGTTAAGATGGATATATATGGATATATATGGACATAAAATCAAAACAATATATACATTTTTTTCTATTATTAAATTTGAACATTTCTTTATACTTTTTTATTTGTATCAGGTCACTTTTTGCAAATCGATCCGCCATTTTGGATCTGCCACTTTGAATTTCGAAAATCTGAGATCATATTCGTAATCAGCGACTTTAAAAACCCCCGAGTAACAAATTTCAATTCAACCTTACGTAAAGAAAAATGTGTGCTTCAAAGGGTTAAGAATGCAGCTACAATAGAAGGAATAAGGAATAGATTTCAACTTATCAAATATCGGATACGTCGGCATACACGGTTTCTGATAGGTTGGTCATTATTCCTTATTCCTAATTCCTTATTCCTTCTATTGTGGCTGCACCTTAACTCGGTCAAATAATATTTCGAAAGGAGAAAGAGGAGTTTCTTAAGAAGTTTTCTCTCCTCCTTTAGTTTGCAATGTCCATAGTATTGAAAAAGTTAAGATTATAACGAATAAAATTTTTTTGTATGAATCACGTCCTTTTATCAGATTGGCTTGGCACATTATTTATCAAATGCTAAGACTAACAATGAGAATTTCAATTATTGCGAATTTAATAATTAGTACGTAGAATGTAACACAATTTTTGTTCAAAATTTATAGACAATATTTAAAGTAAATATTGTACTTAAATTCATCTTAAGGACGATTTTTGAACGATCATTGTTTGATTAGAAGACTACCTAAAACTCCTATTCTGTAACAATAATAGGCCTGTTCTTTTTGGCTGAACTTTTACACCAGTTCATCTTTCTTCCTTTTCTCTTCAGAAGGAAAAAAGAGGAAGAAAAATGAACAAAAGTTCAGCCAAACAGAACAGGCCTAAAGCTCAACTGTCCACGAAGCTAGAAATCAGTCCGATTTTCCGTAAAAACCATAAGCTGATTGGCTACACATTTCTTGATCCGAGAACTCAGATCAAGTTCTAGCATAGTGGACATTGGGCTTAATGTCGGTATCATTCTAATATCGTTGTGTAAATATTATACATATAATAAAAAGTTTGCGTAATGACAACGTAATGATATTTAAGTCTAGTAGAAACTTTGAAACCATCTTAAATCTAAAATTAATATAAAATTTTGTGTTTATGATGAACAGAGCAAAAATTGACCAATTGCATTGACCAAATTGTTCAAGTTTTGTGTGATTTGTTAAGGCTTTCTCCATCCAATTTTAGCATCGTGGATACAAGACTTAAGGAAAAAATACTACCCTATATCCGGGATTTTTATCCGAATTGTGTTAGGCCGGAATCAGACTACGCATTGAATATTGAGATTGAAAGATTGAAATTTGACCAATCAAAACAATAGGAACTAAAATTCCTTTGTCCTCACTGGTCAAATTTTAATCTTCAATCTTCAATCTCAATCTTCAATGCGTAGTCTGATTCCGGCCTTACAAGTTTCAGTAATCTTTTATTGAACCAAGAGCTTTCAAAGTTTTTTTCATAAAAAATATTGGAAATTAGAAAGGATATTAAAAAATTATATAAAGAAATCGTACTTGAAAGTGCATTAAATATTCAGAAAATCCTCCAATTTTCGGATATTTAATCGTGCCACGTACCCAGGTAACAAACTGATTATTTGTTATTTTGACTTCAATATGATATATTAAAGTTAAATAATGTTAAAATGACAAGTAACGTCAGTTTGCTATCTGGATAGTAATGAGTTGTGACATATGTATTACCGTGATATATTGGCTGCGTTCAGCAGAGAAAGCAACTTTGCAACTGTTGTAAAATTCTTCAATACGATTGGTTCTTGCTTTTGGTTCCTTATAGATCTAATCATATTGCAGAATTTTACAACAGTTGCAAAGCTTCTTTCTCTGCTGAACGCAGCCATTACCGCGCGTTCATTTTTCTAAAAGTTTTCTGCCACAAATCTGACGCTTCACTTTCAGCTTTCAATACATTTATCGCTTACTAACTTTTTACATCGTGTCTTTAAGCAGGTAATAAGGTTCTGAAATATTCAGGTAAAATGGAAGAGCTCAACAAGGAGCACAATCCAGGGACTGTAATAGAAAATACCACAAATTCTACTGTGGAGAACAACCACGTGGCACAAGATCCAGAACCAGCATTCAGTGATGAAGAAGAGGAGTCTCCTCTCAGGTTAACTATCCATTGCATATATTGTAATGCAATATCTATTGCATATAGTATAACATATACTAATCTTTTCGATATGGAAGGATTATAGACTAAAGTTTTATTTTATCTTATGATTCATCAATACATTCATTCTGGTCATGAAGTAATAACAGTAAAAAACATGAGACTCAATTATAACTTTGACCACAGTGATTGTGACTGTAGTTATTCATTACTCTTTGATCATGACGAATTTTTTGCACTAAAAACAAAATTAAACTTCGTATTACAAATGTAGATTTAATTAAACAAATTTATTTGTATTTTAGAATAGTAACGAAAGTGGAAGAGGAAGAAGACGAGGAGGATGTACCATTGTCTACTGTAAAATTGAAAAATGATCAAAAGAACGCAAACTGTGTCGTGAAGAAGGAAGACATTACGTCGCATTTACGTCTTATATTGGAGCCGGAAGAGTTGAGAACTAGTATAGAAACATTGCATACGGAAACCGATAATGAGTCGAGATGCCAAGCGATGGAAAGGATAGTACAAATGGTTGTGGAAGACGAAATAGATGCAGAGACGATACCTGCGTTAGCGTCCTGCATATCAACTATCTTATCGCCGCAAATCACGGCGCAGATTTTTCCGTCGGATAACCTAAATGAAGAAGTATTGGCTGATAGTATAAGCACGCCGTTGTTTGTTATGTTTCGAAACCAGTTTCAATTATGCAAAGAAGAAGATAATAGGCGGAAGCTTTTGGCCAGGGTGCTAGCGGAAATGCAATCGGTTCAATCTAAGACAGGTTATCTTCTTCTTTACTTCTTAAAAGTCTGGGGCAGAGAAGAAGAGAAAAGAGAAGGCGAACCGAGGTTAGACAAAAAATATGAATTATTAAACAGACAAAAAATAAAAAAAAAAACAATTTTAACTTCTTGTTATATTTCAGCAATGTTCTGAACGATGTCAAAGCATCAGTATATAAGGACTTCTGCGCGCAGCGAGAAAAAAAATTGGACGTGTGTCTGGTGTCAGATTTAAAGGTACGAATTTTGTATACAGACATAAACAAATTAAATATCATATTTGTACTCAAAGCGATATGTTCTAATACATTGTTTGCTTTTGTTATAGCTTTGCCACGAAGATAACATATTCATGTTATGTTACCTTGTGCCTGACGTATACACAGGGTTTCAAAATGTCGCCGTCGGAAATGTTCAACTGTTGCATCTTGTCGTGTCCACTGTGGATTCGTGCCAGTTACAGGATTTAGTTTGTCAGATAATGCAAGGCCATCTAAAGATGTTGAAGAAGGAATCGTTCACCACGCTATTGACAGCCAGCTTAAATTGGGAGACATTTGAACAGTACTGTTTCTGGCAGCTCATTTTCGCACACGATTTTCCCATTGATTACGTACTGCCAGTTTTGCCGAAATTACAGTTTCGTAACCACGCAGAGGCACTTACTTCAATCTTGTTTATGCTTAAGCAAGAAAAGTGAGTAAAACAATTACTGATTATTAGAAAAATTATTATAGAACAATTCGATATATGACTTTATATTTGACTAATGCATTATAGGCCAACGTTGGATCTTCTACGACAATTACTCGCCCGACAAAGCGTTGATGGTGATATGTTTGTTGTGGCAGCGCTACGTTACTGGTGTCGCGATTACGAAGAGAAACTTGGCGAACTGCTCGCGAATCTACTTAGCACCCGTTATCCTGCGACCAGTCCGAACAAACGGAAACGTTCTGGAGCCAAGCAAAATCAACAGTCTGCTGGTCCACCCACCGGCGAACAAGTTCTCGGTCATTTGGATCAATTACGTCAACACTGTATGTCCTCCGCGGAATTACAGTTATATCACTCGGAAGGAATGCAAAGGGCATTACAGCAGGCGCAGGCGGCGAGTAGTGATTCACTGAGGAAAAGTTACGGCGATCTCTTTGCACTTGCAGAAGTCAATGAAGAGAATGAACCGCCACCACCGAGTAGTTCCGCGAGAAAACACACTACTGCGTCCTCTGGAGGAGGTGGGGCCAGTGGTAAGGGTGGCCATAGAAAAACCGGTGCTAACACGAGAGAAAGATCCAATTTGAAGAGACCACTTCCGCGGTATCATATCGATAGTACCTCTAGTAGCGAGGTAAGGGTTTTTAGAAATTATATTTATGTAAATCATATATGGATGTAATCATATATGTCATATGATACAATCACACATATACGTATATATAATATTATATATTATTAAAAAATTAATGATTTTTCTTATTGTTCACAGGAAGAAGAAATCGTGAATCCAAAGCAAGCGAAAAAAAGGAAAAAGATCAATCCAGTGGGCTCGGACAGCGACTGACCACCCAGTGTCTTCATATGTCACATGGACCACGTCACGTGTGTGCAGCAAGCTAAACTAGCCTTAAGAATAGTAAGATAATATGATATATATGTACATATATATAACACATTGATATATTTATATATATATACATATAAATCTATTTAGCGCAACTTTGTAAATAGAATGTACGCTAATGATGAATGCGGAGAGGTATACATATATATAGGAAAGTAAAACCTTTAATATGTTTCATATATATACATGTTGCTCAGAGCAACAGCAAAATTGCCAGACTCTGATTGTTATTGTTAAAACATTTTGTTGAAAATTAAAAATCAATGTGTGGAAACTACTTAATCGTATGCTTAAATACGATCTTGTTTTAAACCCGTTTTTTACATTGACAGATACTAGTTAATGATATTTAATGGTAAACTCGTATGACCAACGGTACGTCAATTAGTCTATTTTCCTATGTTTCCTCTTGCAAAATATGCATTAAACTACCACTCATATCTGTCAAAGTTATTAAAAAGCAGAACATTTTAGAATTGCTAAAGACTCCTGGTTTTTTTATTGTAGTCATATTAAATTATGATGTTGGATAAGAAATCGTGAATTTTTTTGGCAAAATATATCAAAATGTTTTCTTGTATGCATATTTGACAACATATGGAAGAATGAAAGCCATGCGGTGTAAGTTACTTTTATGATTTCAAGAAACAAAAAAATTTTTTGATGAAAAAATTTACACCACTATTGTTTTCACTCCTCCATATGTAATTATACGGTACTTTCTTTTTAATTTGTAAATTAACAATGATGTAAATCTTGATTAATTGTTATCGCATGTGTAGCATGCAGATCGAATTATAAATGTTAAAACAATCACAATACATTCTTGCATTTTTATTGATGCATGAAAATGATGAAAGTGTATATTTTCGGCATTATTATCTATATACAGGGCGTATCTATAAAGTTTTTCCTGATCTTTTATATTTCGAAAATGGTTTAAAATTATGAAAAACCGCAAATACGTGTGTTCGAGGGTTACTCTTTTAAGAAGGTTGAGGGGTTGCCCTTCCCCTTCCCCGAAGAGAATTGCACTACTATTTCTAGTACAGTAGGAACATTTGAAAGAGTTTAACAGTTATTAGTTCGATGAATAGAAGCCTGCATTCTTCCGTTTTGCAATAAGTTCATGAAAACTTTTTTTATTTACTCGACATATTATATAAGTTTGATCCCAATCTTTATAGACACCCAGTATGTATGATATGCATATATATGTATATATATGTATATATAGGGTGCTTTCCATTTGGTGACACAAATCGGTACAAGTGTCACTATCTTTCTTGACATTCATTGAATAACAAAGATAAACGACACTTGTGTCACCAAATGAAAGTTCCCATGAAAATATATACATGAAAATATTTAATTAATAAAGAATTTGTATGTATATACAACATATATATATGTATATAAAGAAAAAATTGTAGATACACATTATAAAACGAAGATTTACACGGTTTTTTGTCTGTGACATCGCGATTCATATGACTATGAAAAAAAAATAGAAGTCTTAATATGACCGTTTTCTTCGCAAGTATGAAAGCGAAAAACACAAAGAATCTGGCAATATTGCAGGGGTATAGCAACGCAATATATCCCTTTTGCACTTTACTTTTTTTTAAATATCGTTATGACGGATTTTTATCTATTGTCTAAATATGCAGTCATTACATTTTCCTTCTCTTTATGAAATTTTTGTCGAAGTAATTGTGACCGCTATTGGACATATTCGTTGCCGTAACTCCCGAATGTAATTTCAATGAAGTTATTAGCCTTTTCTTTTCTAGAATTAAGAACCTTCTACCGGGACGTCGAAACGTAATTCGTGTACGTACTATTCCGGTGAGAAGCGTACAGTTTTACGACCAAATGTATTCAGTTCTCAATTGCGCTTAATGAGCACAATTATTCTCGAGAGATACAGGGATACTTTTTATAATGTTCTGCATGACGGAAGGTTATTAAACTTTAAAATAATCGGAGTGATTCAATGTTAGCTTGAAATAAATTCCCTTTTTGTTTCAAATTTTATTAGGATGATTTAGTAATTTGATTTAATAATTTGTTGTGATTATAAACTGCGACGTAATTTGACTTGTACTTTTGTATATCTTTTTACATCTCCTTATATTTGTAGATAGACATATAAGGTGAAATTAATTCGCGCATGGTGATAACAATGCAGACACGATAAGTCGGTCTCATCATTGTACAAGTATTCAATTCTCGTAAAAGTGTTTGAATAATTTTCCGTAACTAAATCGTTCGTCGTTTCGTTATCATACTACATACGAGATATACGTGTTTCTCTGAAATGTTTAAAAATCCGAAACTACCTTCCAAGGAAAGAAGAGGAAAAAGAAAGAAAAGAGAGTGTTAGGCGTTCTTGTAAACCTAAGTCTCGAAAACAGAGTGCGGAGAGAATATATCACCATTTACTTATAATGTACATACATTTCCTGTAAAATCGTTTAATCCAAAAGTCGATTGCATTATGCATCTTCTAATAGTGCGTGTATACATATATATACACACACATGTGAAATATATAAATATATACATAAAACGTGATGAGAATATGTGTATGTATGCATATATGAAACATTATATTGTATGTGGTGCGACCAGAGAATTTGTGCAAAACATTTACGAGATATATATATATATATATATAGTTTTTAGCATCCCCTACGCCTCCACTCTCGATCTTGATTTTATCTCGAAAGTACCAGTGCGAAATCGTATCGCTGATCGGATAAAAAAGAAAGAGAAAACCCAGAGCGTGTCTCTAAATGTTCATACGAACGATTTGTACGAAGAATGGATACGTATAATCTCTGGCGCGTAACGATAACGTTATTAGAATTTTTTTACTTGTATATAAGCAACGGCGATACTACAGAGAATATTAAAAAAAAAGATAATCCGACGAGAGAAAGAGAGAACGAGAGAGCGCGGAATATGGGGCATGCGATGTAGTCTGAAAAAAAGAAGGTAAAAAAAAGAGGAAAGCAAACTGTAAACATTAATGTTTTTAACGATCTTGTACACACGGAAGAACATGTAAATACATGGATAGATTATCATAATGCGAGTATAAACATTTAATGTTTTTAACGATCTTGTACACACGGATTACACGTAAAATGTAAATACATCGAAAATTATCGAAAGCAAACTTGTGATGTCTTGTACTTACTTTCTCCTTCTTCAAGTCTCCTATTCTTTAAGGTATAGATATCTTGCATCAATAGCAATTATTAACAATAAATTATTTCGCTGCAATATTAGCGGTAGTGAACGTATATATTTTCTCTTTTTACCCTGTTTTTTAAGTACGATTGCATTATTATTTTGCGTATTACGGGTATATAACCGTTCTTATATTTAAGACCATTGTAAGTACAGTCTTCTCTGTGATAACTGATCATAGAACTTTATTAACATCTTAAGACATTACTTAAGGTCTTAAGATGTTATATGGCCCAGTAATTGGTTTATGACATTTTAAGACTATACTTAAAATGGACTTAAAATAAGAACTGAATATTGAGATTCATAACATTTATTTAAGAAAAACAGCAATTGCGCGTCTATGTTTCAATCAAAAATATTTCACTTGTGTCTCTAATTACGTAAACAGTTTGATAAACCGGTGAATTTTTTACTTCTTTTTTACTAAAAAATCGACTTATTTTTTTAATAGTCTCTTTAAAAAATCATTGATTTATCAAAATGCTCATGTAAATTGTTGTTTATATGCGATCATAGAGTAGCCGACTGAATTCGTCATGCGAATTCCGACGGTACGTTTCAAGAAAGCGCGTAAAATTCATTGCGAAAAACGAATTTATTTTCTTTTGTCACACTGAGAGAGGGAGAGAGAGAATATTGGGAAAATCCAACTCGATGCGACAAACAACAAAGAAAATCATAGTATTAAAATTTGTTACATATTATTATTGCTAAAAATGCGACGGGGAAAAATGGAATAGATTCTTATTTATTTTCTCAAGAAATTTGTGGATACGTCATCATTAATTACATGACGTATCTTTCTCTACATATAATGCATTAATCAAACCTTTCAGTTTTATTGTGTTCGTCAGCAAGACGAGAATCGCGAGAACCATTTTCATCGCGATCAAGCTCAAATAAAGTAACCACCTGTTTTTTCTCAAAGTTCATTCGGTTTTAATATACGTCAAGAACACAATAAAGGGCCGTATAATTTTACGAAATTACTCATTTCGGTAATGCATTACAATTCGCGCTCGTCTGCCTGTCGAGAATTTCATTCGGCTAATTTTCGGGCGAAGATCAATCGAAGGCATAAATTTTTACAAAACTGCTTTTTATTATGCTTTACAATCGGACTAAGCGCCTCAATTATCATAGATTAATCATTTTTTTTTAACATAAAGACATCTTGATCTCAATTCTGCAATGTCGATTTATTAAAGAATAATTAGTCGGTATTTTTAACTAATATTAAACGTCGCGACAAAGTTGACCGCTTCTATTGATCTCCGCGTGTCGAGTGTCACCTAATTAAAGTAGAGAAATAGTTTTGTTTCGATTGTGCACGGGGGATTGTACTTTACATAGGTATATTTTTAGGTCGTGTTCCGATATACACTAAAAATCCCAGTACTAAAAATCTATAGTTCACGTTACGTGTGCTATAGATTTTCAGTATTAGCAGTGTATATCGAAACATGGCTTTAAAGAGTTCGGGTGCACGCCGTACATCGACGTACACCGTGCGTCTTGTTATAATTGTTAATCACAATCGTCGAATATGTACAAGGATTCTGTACAGGGATTCGTATTTGCCATTCGTCGTCACGCATACGCGCTATATCACGTAGAAATTCGATTATTACACATAAGTATCGTACTATATTTACGATGCAAAAAGGTATTCGTTCATAAACTAGTTTATACCGCGAGAGCTGTATAAACAGCGACAGGCATCGTGACACTGATACTGACAACGACAGGAT